TATTTTTCCTGAATTTTATACTAATTGAACTTGAAAAAGAAATTTAATTTGATTTTTTAAATAAACGATTTCACCGATTTACACGCGTTTTCCCTTGACCAAATTTTGACCGTATCACCCTTTACTTAATGGGTTAGATTTTGATAAATTCTTTAGTGGGAATGACACTGATGAAGACTGCACATTGTAGTCGAAATACGTATGTGTCATGGATACCAAAATTAATTAAGTGGAATTAAATGGAAGATTACATTTTTTTGCTGTTTTATTTAAGCATTCCGCTAACAACCCAATTTCATTATTTCATTATGATGGCTACCAACCCTTTGGGATTTTCCTTATTAGAGAGTTGTATAGATTTTTCTCCTTATACTGCAATATACTCAAAACTTTTCTGAACGACTGACCATTCAAGTACCTTATTCAAACATACCCACTTAAAGCAATCAACTTTTTCAAATTGAACAATACGAGCTTCCAAGTACAAAATACATGCTCGATAAAAATTCTGCGTGCTAGTTCTAAACACGCCTGTGTGTGGCCAAGCGTCGTCTACAAGCTTTGTCAACTGATTCCGTACTGCTAAAGGAAGGTATTCCATTTTCAGCCTCTCTTCAAGCTTGAACTTCAGCTCTCCTACTTCTGACGCAACTTCTATCGTTTTTACTGTTTGATGGAATATTGCCGCTTGATTGTGTACAAAATAAAGCCACATTTCGGAACCATCATCTTCGAAGAAATCTTTTAGCATCCTTGGGCAATTATCAATTGAGCAACTTTTTAGTTACCTTTCTCTGTCAAGCTGCACACATGGATGAATAGCTTAATTCGACAGTGAGCATGCATAAGGGCGAATACGCGATGATCGATTCTCTTCATCGATTTTCTCTTTGCATTGCTACAGCTAAGCGAAACAATTTTCTAGAATTTGTTCAATGCAGAGTAGTAACAGGTTGTATTGGCTAACACAAGCAACAGCAAACGCACCGAGAAACGTAAAATCTAGCGAGTTATTAACAAAAGAGAAAATCGACGAAGAGAATCGATCATCGCGTATAGGCCCTTATGCATGCTCACTGTCAAATTATTTTCCCACTTATCTGCATGCGCTCGCTCGCACTCCTTCAATTTGCAGTGTGTGCAGTATAGTTGACAAAAGTTTTGTTGTTGTTGTTATTGTTGTTGTTCCGATTCATTTTGTTTAGAGTCGGTGTATAATGAGTCACGCCAAGAGAAAACAGTTGAACTCGCATCACGGTTTTCGAAAGATTCCATTTCTTTTCACTTGGCAACAGAGGACTGCTACATCAACTTCAAATGACTTCCAGTGAGCAAAAAAAATAGCGGCTGTTGTAAATCTTATATCAGTGATTTTGTCCAATCATCTCAACAAAAAATAGTAGAAATTCTCATTAATGATCGCTACCAAACGTATCCCATGATAATTTAATGATCACTGCGTGTTTAGGATCATTTCTTCGATTATATTTTATATTTTATTACAATACCTTTCGTGGACCTTTCATAGCATCGTAATGTTTGTTTACTTTGCACGATAGGTAGCCGGTTTGACAGTTCAATAGGTAGACTTGGCTTCACTCTTGGCGTGACTCATTATACACCGACTCTAATTTTGTTCTCTTTCTTGAAATGTCATTTCATACCCTTCAGTATTAGTCGAACCCTTTAGAAATGGATTTAAAATGATGCGCGCTCTATCGGGTGGAATTGAAAATAAATAAGAGTGCACTAATGAAAATTTTAAAATCACTTATCAAATGCGGGACGTTTTCCGGGACATTTGGTAATCCGGGACGTTTTCCGGGACACATGTAAATGCGGGACATGTAGGATAAATCCGGGACTGTCCCGCAGAATCCGGGACGTCTGGTCACTTTAGTGTAATTCAACAGCCGCAACATTAGTTGTCAAGCAGAAGACGATCTCGTCGACGATATGAACATGCAAGCAACGGAAAGCTCTCCATACAGATGGTCTTAGGAATGATTTTTTCGAGAGTATCCCCACGCGAATTTATTGCTTCGATCAACGTTGAAGCTGTGGTTGATTCTCCCGCGTGGAATGTGTGAAGACGGTACAATCAAACTGATAATGAACCAAGTGCATATTAGCACAATCCTGATGTTGCATCGATCATGCAGTGGTATCAACCGGTGAACACTCGTGTTTATTTCAGTTACCATGGAGACGTAATTTGTGATTAGCCCCGGTCCCTTTCATATTGTATCATTATTTATGAACAGTCTTATATTTGAAATGACGTTTCACATTCATCTAGTGATGTCCGATTTTCATTCGAATAATCGTTTAATCGATTAACGAACCGAAAAGTAAACTATTTATAATCGGTTAGATCATGCCGATATAAGCATTAACATCTCCACAGGATCATCACCGATCGTTTCAAACATGTGCTGCACTCTCATTCGTGGAAAAATGGCAGCACAGCGAGCAAAAAATAATCGATTAGTTGTTAATCGAGTAATTAAAAAATGGGACATCTCTGATTTTGGTGTGATTGTTTTGATAAAAATGAGCGCAAAATTTCATCTCTTCCGAGGGGGCAGCAAAACCACAAAATTACCTTGAATACGGGGGGTTCTCATTGGATGAAAGGGACCTTGAAAGAAGACACTAAAATAGAAAGTTTTTCTTCCGACAGTTTCATCTTAGTATTCATCTTTGGTGGTATCCTGAGGTAATTTGCATCTCACATTCAAACAGAAATGTCTACTTGTTATGACATTCCTGAATTTATTTAAAAATTTTCACTTAGTCTTGGAACATTTTTTCCCAAATGCATTCTCATAATAACATTACAACAATTTTTTTTTAGATATTGATTCAATCAGTGTCAGAGGCAAAGTGTCATAGTCAGAGTCGGGATCGGTTATTTTCAAATCAGAGGAGTCAGAGTCGGAGTCGGAGTCGGTCGATTTAGATTCAACTCCATAGCCCTTTTTGTATGGAACTCGTTGCAAAGTTCGAATTTTTTTTCAGCATTCGTCATAATTATCTATCCAACTCAGCAAGCCTTATTGGAAAAATGCAGCACTCGTGCTGAAAAAGTATTCAATTTGTAACTTGTTTCATAAATAGCTATTCTTAAACCATTGATTTGGCTATGAATAAAGGCGCGTTAAAATAAAGCATTTCAGTGGGGGCAACCCCGGCGTAGTGGTTAACATCCATACCTCTCACTCCAAAGTCACGTGTTCAAATCTTACCCCCGGACAAGTCGCGCCCAAAAAAGTTTGTCAGAGACGGGTATCATAACGAAACTACAAAGATTTGTTCCTTGTAATTACTCTTTTGATAACATTGATTTACAAGTTACATGACCTTGAGGAATTCAGGCCAACAAAAGTGACAAATAGTTCTTTAGATTTTTTGTACGTTAATTTGGTGGCAAATACCTAAAGAAGTAAACCAATAATCAACTAAGATGAACTGTATCAATGTAGTAATCCAGTTCAATAAATCTTCAAGAACAGACTCAACAAAAGCTTTTCAGATCAAACCCTTAACAATCAAAGGTATCTAAATGTTAAACTGACGTGAAATTAAACACTACTTATGGCATCGAAATTAACAGTGAAATCCAGTAGGTACTTACCTATCACTTAAAACATATCAGTAACAGCAACGCTTGTTACATCAATTTCTTTACGCCGAAGAACCACTACTCAGCAACAGTGGAAGACCATCCTGAAAGTAGGTGCATCAACTTCGGTCTTCACTCATGCTCTTTCAACCCACCGAGTCATTCGTGATGAAATTCGGTTCGGGTAAAGAGAATGAGTCTCCTTCTCAGGATCAAAAGCTTCCTCGTCTTCTCTTTCTCAAACAGTGAGAATGAGTTCGTACACGCGCAAAATTTAGTGAACGTACCCCCACAAGCACACGTTGCTGCAGCTGGGAATCATCTGATGAAAAGCTTTTCAGCTGGTGGGTGTGGAAAAGCCGGTCGTCGGACTGTATGGTGGGTGGCTGGGTTTGGGTGGGAGCTTTAGAATGCAACCGCCAGCATATAGTAGGTACTGGATGCTGCTGTGGAGTCTGTTCTGAATTGTTCAGCTGGCGCGCCTAAATAGAAGAGGGTACTATTATCATCATCGTCAGCAGCAGCAGCAGCATAATCATCGGTGCCATCATCATCGAACAGTCACCTATAAAAGCATTTTCCATGCCAGAAAGGAGCTGCATTCGATTCGTGTCTGGCATAACGGTTGGTGCATCTCGGTGTTTCTTGCAAAACAAAAGATCTTATCAGCAATATTGTCACGGTGCAGTGAAATTTATAAATTCGGTCAAGTGAAAAATAAATCCCCAAAACGAAATTGATTGACGCGCTGCTCACTGCATCAATCGTTCGTTCTGTGTCGTTGGCGTCGTCATTGTTGTGCTAGATTGGATGATAGGATACCAGTTCCACTGCTGCTGCCAACATCCGATTGGGGTGGCGTGACGAGTGACGGTTGGTGGTAGTGATTGTTCCAGTTTCCGGTCCGTTCCACGCGACGCATACCACGACGACGACGACGACGACGACAACGAGGACAACAGGAGGTAGTGTCAACTAGTGGGTAACGAAGGGTGTTAAATCCTGTCCCAGGGGTAAGGGGGCATACAAGTGCCACACCGCAGCACCGTGCGAAAGCCATTCAATCGTGACACGTCGAAGCGGAAGGATTGTTCTGAAGATCTTCCCCGTGGAAATCAAACCTTAAAAAAAATCTAACAACCAAAGTGATCCGATCAAGTGACCAAGTGAAATTTATTGTATACTTTTCCATTAGCAAATCGAGTTAATTACTCATTTAAAAATTATCCTTTTTCGGTGCAGAGAACCCCTTTTTCGGTGTTGATAAAAAAAGGTATAAATCAACCGACTGTGGCGGAAGAAGCGAGGAAAGCAAGAGCAAGATAAACGTGAAACGTGAGCCAATTTTCGGACAGAGTGAATCAAGTGAATACTGACCGGGAAAGCCCGGAACGGTGATCGACGATAAACTGATTTTCCTCGGTGATATCGCGGAAAAAAGTGTTGGATTTCGGAAGGATTTCTCTGAGGACTTATTTGGTGAGTGGTTTTTGTATTCAGAATATTTTTTTGGGGGCTAGATAGATTGGTCTACAGTTTGTTCCATGTGATGGGGGTGTGAGATAGGATATTTTGCATTTGGTTGGTATGTGAAAAGATAAGATTTCCTTTTATTCATAGTACATGAAGCTAAGAAACTGAGAACATATCTAGGATGGCATACAGTTGATTTTAAAAGAATCCAGTTGAGAGTTTTTCTTAATACAAATTTATTTCTTCAATTAGTTCAATTCTGATACATGAATTAAAATTGGTAGCAGTAAAATGGACAGGCAGAGTGATAAGAAACTGAAATTAGTCTTATATTCAAGCTGAATAAACCACTTTTATTCAGCTTTCAATGCTAAGTCCCACCTGTTCGCTAATTCTGAAGTATGAATCGCATCATTATATATCATTACAGGGAAATTATCGAAGCTTTGTTTCAGACTCAACATACGAGTGCAACCTGGGATATTTTTCAGTGATTCAAAACGGTTGCAATGACTCAAACTGTTTAGAACAAAATCACAAAATTTAGAGAATTTCATGTACCGTAAAATGGGGTGACATTGAAGACTTAGAAAATATTTATTGATGCACATATCTTGAATATACAGAAAATGATGAATATATTTCTTAAACTCCTGGAGTAAAGTGTAAATAACATTAACAGGTGCTTTTATTTATATAGTGTTGTATAGTTAAGTGTCATAAATAGTAAAAACACGTTTATAAAAATGTTCACAGGCAAAGAAACGTTTGATTACACTGTTATGTGGATAGACGAAGGTTACACGCATTATTTAACAATACATACGAAGAACATTTTGATCATAACCAAGTGTACTCCTAATAGCTACGTTACATTTACAAATTTTAAGATATTTTAATAGAATTTTTGTTTTGGCCTAATGTACACCTCCACCACCCCTCGTCCAATAAGGTTTTACATTGGTATATCTTTAATTTCATATAAGAGCTATAATTTGCATTGAACAATTTTCATGACTGTCGTAAATATATCATTGCTAAATATATTCATATGCTTAAAATAGTTTTCCTTGCTAAAATTTGAATCTTGTAAGGTAGGGAACGAACAATTTTGATATTTTGGCCCAAAATATCCCACTCCCATTTACCGTAGTTTAAAAGATTCACTTATTTTTTGCTTCTCAATAGCAAAAAATTGACAACCGTGTGCTGTAAATTTTGATCTCACAACTCCTGACAGAATGCTGTTCCCGGGCAAAGGATTATTCCAAATTGATAACAAGTTCTGATACCCGGTTATCAAGATTTGATAACTGAACATGTTATCTTTGTGGTTGAAAACAGCCAACATAACAACAATTATAACAAAAGAATACTTCTGGAATATCACAAAAATAACTGATTTGGTTATCATTGAAAATGCCTTGATAATAAATCCTGTCCATGCCAATTTTTTCAACAAAATTCCAAATTATTTAATCGATTTGGTATTATAGCCTTACGCTGATAACTGAAATACGATTGGCAGTGTTTTTTTTTCTCACCATGTGGAAAATGATTTAGTGACTTGCAATCAATTTAATTGTTTGTAAGAAAATTTGAACATACTGAGAGGTAAGCACATATCATCGGTAAGAGACGTGTATTTAAGAAAATTTGCGAAAACCTCTATGAGCACCAGTGGGATACCTTACTTCTCAGTATGTTCAAACTTTTTCACGAACATGTGGATAATATTTGAAGTTTGTGGTTCCCGTTCTGATGGAGGAGGCTTATTCGATAGCCGAAATTAATGTTTTTATTGTGTCCTACCTTTTGACTATAGTTTTAGGATTTTTTTTCCTTGATTTGTTTTCCATCGATCTAGTTTTCCGTGCTGAGCACCAATGCTACCGACGTCAGCGAGGCAGCTCCCACACCTGGACCCTACCTATCGACCCATGAACTCATGAACCGGGGACCAACGGCTTTACTTCCTTTCCGAAGGAAGGCGTGATCATAGATGTTATGCCTCAGAACAATCCCGGCGGCACCGACTGGGATGGAACCCAGGCCTGCTGGGGTGAGTGGTAATCACGCTTATCACTACTCCAGCGGTGCCTCTTATAATTTAAAGAGTAATGTTTAGTGAACAAGAATCATTGAGCCTTATCAAATAAATTTTTAAGCATCAAAATTCACGACGAACAAAAATTTAAAAGTTTAAATTTTTTGAATTTTATTTTAAGAAATTTGAATAATTAAGGAATTTGATCCGCTGGATTTTCCCTGTGTGCCAAACGCTCTCTACATTCCTGTTCCGAAAATGCTTATATTTTATTATATTTGATGGTTTTTTCTTGAAAACCACGAACTACCATCTTGTATTCTTGAATGATGATATAAATTGAATATTATTTTTCTTAAATGGTGAGTAAGAATACAATTTTATTTTATTTTAGAAAATATATACATACAATAAAAGAAATACCTGATTGTATTAAAGTGATGGGTTCAATTAAGAAAGAAAGCAACTTACGAATCTTGAATGTAAAAGGGCCTAAGATTAATTTCATGATATTTTGGTATGTAAGCAAAAATGGTCGCTTTAAGGCCACCGAGCCCCTCATATCACATCACACCACTTATGATCGGGTTGTTGATGAAGATTTAAAAGTACACAGTAACCTCCACTTACGAACCAAACCGAAGGTTTGTAAATCGAATCGGTGCATAAAAAAAGACTCGTGTAGGAAACAAAAATCTAAGTCTGACGCCATTTTAAAATCCAAGATGGCAGCTTCACAACATCTAGATAGAGCAGAGCGAAGTTCAAGGCACGCCTACACAAACCAACATATCAATCGTGTAGGGGAAGTCTTCACTTACTCGATGGTTATGTCGATTTGCCAGGGCCAGCCATGACTTTCGAGAAATCATCGAGAGAAGTAATTGTTGACAAAAGCTGTTACGCCCTCATTCCAGCTCTTTATAGATATGGGTATTTTTAGAATCAGAGTGACGTGAACACGCTATTCTGAATCTAACCAGTGGCTGGGTGGATGGCACCCATTCTTGTATCCAGTAAGGAGTTGTCGAAATCTGGGTAAACTTGTTTTGTTATGATGAGTAGAATCTACCCAGATTCTGGGTAAATTGTTGTAATCGAAATTTTCAAAAAAAAAATGCCACATGTATGAAAGGGAGATTGTTGCGCTGCCAGTGAAAGTTTGAATGCTCAAAATATATAAATATGAAAATTTATAGATATGGAACTGTTTTCATGGCTAATGCTACCAGCAGCTATAGTTAGTAAGTATATTGTTAGTTTCTGGACTTTAAACATTCTCCTAATTCTAGGTTATCGAGATATTCTGTGACGCTTTTCTCTATGCCAAATGTTTTTTCTTGTTCCTAATTTAAAGAACTCATTTAAAATCAAATCTCAATAAATGAGCATTTGAAACGGTACAGTTTTGTGGGTATTTCAATGTCGTATTCCGTAGTTATATATTTTTACTACAATACTATCTCAACAATCAATATAACAGGCTAGAGGAGCTAGCCGGGTGAGGTTATGTTTGATAGTGCTACTGCAGCGGTCATATCAACTAATTTCTATTAAAATGGGTAAAGTTTACCCTGTTATCAAATGTCAACATCTGAGTAACAGTTACCCAGTTTCTGTCGCAGGTACTTTTACACAGATTTGGGTAAATGTATGTTTACCCATTTTTGGGTAGGTTCACTTTTGACCGATCTGGGATGATTCTACCCAAATTTGGGTAGTTTTGAAATAGCGTGTAGGAACCGAAAATTCAGGTCTGTGTGTATGTATTCACTCTAACCCCCACTGGCCGGCAGTGTTATCAAGGAAGAACTCTCTACAATGTCACATTTATGGTCATTGTAGGCAACTTAAGTCCGGGAGTTAGAAGGTGATAGCTCTATTGCACCCATTCCGAGGCTACCTTCACTCACAATAAGTCCCGTATGTACCTATGCATCACCGTTATCAAATGGATATTGGATTGAAAATGGATTTCAAACCTAGCGCGTATTTAATTTAATTTTGATATTTAATTTATAAAGAATAACTGGCCCGTTCTCACCATATTCAGCCGTTCTGCCACCGTTGATTTGTTCTTTTCGAATCCCTTGGATTTTTTTTTCTAACGTTTCGTATTTCATTCCATGCTTCACCGACAATCGTAGATCCGTTGGTCGGTTCTGACATGATTCCGCCTTTTCCGGGTACACTGGAGTCGCTTTTTACGCGGGGGATACTGCCGTATTTCTTGTTTTCCGAGGGAGATAAATCCGCACTAATTTCCGTTCCTGGATTTGACTCCTTCCTGGTTGGTGTGATCGGTTTCATATTCACCATCTGTCACTGTATTGCCATGGTCATCTGAGACGAGGCTCACGTCCAAAGTCGCTGGTTCACCGCTCCTTACATCATGGTGCGAAAAGAGAATGAAAGGAATACGAAAGGGATCAGTTTCAAAAAGTGATAGTTTCATCAGATTTCCCATCTAACCATTCTCAAGCAAAGTACTCATATGGCCGTCAGAATGGTTCATCGGTTGCGAAGTGAAGTATTCCTAAAAGTTATGCGTTATATTTCTCAATGTTTCAATTTTATCCTAACGTTACCTCACTGTTATATCACAGACATACAGACACAACACATTCAACATTTCTCATTGTAAACCCTACCGCCATCTGTCGTATACACTGTGATGGATGATTGATTATGTGCACCACAAGTGGTGGTACTACCAACTAATAAACATTTAAATTTGCCGTTAAAAGCGATTTCAATTAACATTTTAAGAGTGTTATATCTGCTTTCCGGTGATCATACCTTCACTATCGCAACTTCGGGTAATCCGCGAAAGTACTTGTATTTATCTGAGGCACTTTTGATCTTTTTTTTTTTTTTTTTTTTTTTTTTTTCAGTTTAAATGATCTTTATTTCTTGTGTTTGTGTGGTTTACATGTTTGAATTTTTTTCAAGTGACACA